GCTACGTCACGACGTCGTGCGTAGTGCTACGGTAAGCCGAAAGTGACAAGATACACCAATTCGCGAGTTAAATTTGAATCGTTCTGGGCTTCAAATAATAAAACAAAGAGTTCAATAACAATCAATAGCAGAGTAAATATGATAATAATAATAATATTAATTATGTTTTAATAACAATTATTTTATATTTGATTGTAAATATAAAATATAAAATCATAAATATAGTATAGCAAATTGTATATAGATAGATTGTATATAGAGAGAGATTATAAGGAACACAGGAAGTTAATTTAATTTAATAAATATTAATTACTGAGCTGTGGAAAAGGGGTAGGATTAAATAAGTTTTATACTTCTTGCTACTCCTTTTCAGGTATATCAATTGATGTAATTTGCTTTTTCTTTTCCTTTTTTTGTGAAATTATTTGAACATTGTTTTTTGTTTACTGTATTTTCATGCTTTTCATTTTGTTTTGTATTTTTGATATGTTTGATTTTATTTGATATGTCTGAAATAAATGTAATCAATCAATCAATGGTAATAATTCAAATTCAAATATAAAAGAAAAAATAAACATTGAATAAAGACATTTTTTTTCAAATGCTGTGCTTATGTATTTATTGTGTGTTTCTGAGTGTGTAACTGTCTATGGTTGTCTGTGTGTGTGTGTGTGTGTGTGTGTGTGGTTGTTTTCTGACATTCACCAGTTCACTGATTGTTAACAGAAACGTCGACTGTACGTTTTATGAGTAATCTAAATAAATCCTTAAAGCCCTGAGTCCTACAGTCAGCTCTTCTTTTCTGGTGTCGCCTCGTTAATCTTCCTTCTTCGACCACTAGATGTCGTCCAATCACATCATCCCACCGTGCCCCTTGCAGAGCTCTTCAGCACACAGGTCTTTCCAGGAGTGCAGCATTGCAGTTACCGGTTATTTTGATTTATTTTGTGGGACAATGCTTCATTGATTACACTCCAATCCTCAAAGGAATTCATGTCGTGAAGCCACTGAAGAAAAGTCTGCACCATACACCAAAAAATAAACACAAATACAGAGAGCCCACTTTCACATGAGAAAAGGTTTATTCTCTTCAAACCACTGGAGGCTTCATGTCATTCAAAAAATAACATTAACAAGGCAAAAAACGTACATCGCTGTTTTTATTTTAAGGCACAGGATAGATCAAAGTTTTTAACCGCTTCAACGAACAGTTAGGACTGTGTGGCAAAAAAAGAAAAACATGGACAAGCCATTGTCAACATGTCTGTGTCAGCCCTGCTCTCTGACGTCTCATATTACTCCCTTTGTCTGACTTACATTTGGATTAAATAACATTTCAACCCTTATTCAAGTATCCTTAACCGCTCTCGTTCATCACTCTAAAATGCCCTCATGTTCTCAGGATCTGAGACGACAACCACAACAACAAATATTGCACAAAGTCCTCTTAAAATACACAAGACGAATAATTTAAATCTCTGCATTCAGTGTCTGTAATCAAGCATAACATAAGAATAAGAGGTAAACAATTGAATAACACTGCATGACAAAATTAAATAAAAAACAAAGTCCAGGCTGCTACTCAAGCCTTCCTTTGAGTCTCAGATGAAGAAACGTTTATTTCAAAACAGTTTCCCATAACGCCCTGTAAATGAACTTTATTATATGTTAGAGACTAGATATTTACATGAAACACGGAGAAACAGGGAGAGACAAGGCGGCCATTGTGTTTCAAAGCATCACAATATCTTCCGACCCGGATCGTAATTTAATCCTGATCAGAAAAACTTTCTGCATGCGGAAAGAATTCCTGTTAAACTTTATGAACAAAATGTACATCAATAAAACTGAAAGATGGGCCCTTATTGGAACAAGATTGTATTAAATCAGAGAAGCATCACTATGTGAGAAGAGGGTCCTGAATACTTCTTATGCTCTGAGAACTCCACCCGTCTTCACTGAGGTCATACCTGCAAGACAAATAAAGAAAGAGTTAGAGTGAAGCACAGCAGGAAATCAATCTGTCAACGGGGAAGAAATGACGACAACGTTTTACCATTGTGTCCATCCTCTGGATATATCCTCCCCACTTAAATCTACCATCACCTGCAAGAAGAACAAGAAGAACCAAAATGAGATTTCTTAGGAGTACAGGGATCATGTCAGCTGCTCATTTTTACAACAAAACAAAACGTGCAGGAGCAGAAGAGACTGATGAGTGAACGCCACCTTCAACGCAACCTTACAAAGACAAAGCAACCTTCACAACAGGGTCCTAAGACTCTGACTAGACTCTTCTTCTCTGTCGCCCCCCGGTGGTGGAATGAACTTCCAAACTCCATGTGATCTGCAGAGTCCCTCTGCACCTTTAAGAAAAAGCTAAAGAGCCAGCTCTTTCATGAATACCTACTAACTTAATGATGATGGTCTCCATATTATTGATGATGATGATGGTGTTTAGGGAGAGAACTCTCATGAACAGCTGTTGATGTTGAGCTCTGTCTCTGGTCACTTCCTGTCAGCACCTGTTCTCTGTCTCTGATCACTTCCTGTTCTCTGTCTCTGATCACTTCCTGTTCTCTGTCTCTGGTCACTTCCTGTGCTCTGTCTCTGGTCACTTCCTGTCAGCACCTGTTCTCTGTCTCTGATCACTTCCTGTTCTCTGTCTCTGGTCACTTCCTGTGCTCTGTCTCTGATCACTTCCTGTTCTCTGCCTCTGATCACTTCCTGTTCTCTGTCTCTGGTCACTTCCTGTGCTCTGTCTCTGGTCACTTCCTGTCACTTCCTGTTCTCTGTCTCTGGTCACTTCCTGTCAGCTCCTGTGCTCTGTCTCTGGTCACTTCCTGTTCTCTGTCTCTGGTCACTTCCTGTTCTCTGTCTCTGGTCACTTCCTGTGCTCTGTCTCTGGTCACTTCCTGTTCTCTGTCTCTGGTCACTTCCTGTGCTCTGTCTCTGGTCACTTCCTGTTCTCTGTCTCTGGTCACTTCCTGTCAGCACCTGTGCTCTGTCTCTGGTCACTTCCTGTCAGGTCCTGTGCTCTGTCTCTGGTCACTTCCTGTCAGCACCTGTGCTCTGTCTCTGGTCACTTCCTGTCAGGTCCTGTTCTCTGTCTCTGGTCACTTCCTGTGCTCTGTCTCTGGTCACTTCCTGTTCTCTGTCTCTCGTCACTTCCTGTCAGGTCCTGTTCTCTGTCTCTGGTCACTTCCTGTTCTCTGTCTCTGGTCACTTCCTGTTCTCTGTCTCTGGTCACTTCCTGTCAGCACCTGTTCTCTGTCTCTAGTCACTTCCTGTCAGCACCTGTTCTCTGTCTCTGGTCACTTCCTGTTCTCTGTCTCTGGTCACTTCCTGTGCTCTGTCTCTGGTCACTTCCTGTTCTCTGTCTCTGGTCACTTCCTGTGCTCTGTCTCTGGTCACTTCCTGTCAGCACCTGTTCTCTGTCTCTGGTCACTTCCTGTGCTCTGTCTCTGGTCACTTCCTGTCAGCACCTGTTCTCTGTCTCTGGTCACTTCCTGTGCTCTGTCTCTGGTCACTTCCTGTGCTCTGCCTCTGGTCACTTCCTGTCAGCTCCTGTGCTCTGTCTCTGGTCACTTCCTGTGCTCTGTCTCTGGTCACTTCCTGTGCTCTGTCTCTGGTCACTTCCTGTGCTCTGTCTCTGGTCCCTTCCTGTTCTCTGTCTCTGGTCACTTCCTGTCACTTCCTGTTCTCTGTCTCTGGTCACTTCCTGTTCTCTGTCTCTGGTCACTTCCTGTCACTTCCTGTGCTCTGTCTCTGGTCACTTCCTGTTCTCTGTCTCTGGTCACTTCCTGTCACTTCCTGTTCTCTGTCTCTGGTCACTTCCTGTTCTCTGTCTCTGGTCCCTTCCTGTCACTTCCTGTTTTCTGTCTCTGGTCACTTCCTGTCAGCACCTGTTCTCTGTCTCTGGTCACTTCCTGTTCTCTGTCTCTAGTCACTTCCTGTTCTCTGTCTCTGGTCACTTCCTGTTCTCTGTCTCTAGTCACTTCCTGTTCTCTGTCTCTGGTCACTTCCTGTTCTCTGTCTCTGGTCACTTCCTGTTCTCTGTCTCTAGTCACTTCCTGTCAGCACCTGTTCTCTGTCTCTGGTCACTTCCTGTCAGCACCTGTGCTCTGTCTCTAGTCACTTCCTGTCAGCTCCTGTTCTCTGTCTCTGGTCACTTCCTGTTCTCTGTCTCTGGTCACTTCCTGTTCTCTGTCTCTAGTCACTTCCTGTCAGCTCCTGTGCTCTGTCTCTGGTCACTTCCTGTTCTCTGTCTCTGGTCACTTCCTGTCAGCTCCTGTGCTCTGTCTCTGGTCACTTCCTGTTCTCTGTCTCTGGTCACTTCCTGTCAGCACCTGTGCTCTGTCTCTGGTCACTTCCTGTCAGCTCCTGTGCTCTGTCTCTGGTCACTTCCTGTTCTCTGTCTCTGGTCACTTCCTGTCAGGTCCTGTGCTCTGTCTCTAGTCACTTCCTGTCAGCACCTGTGCTCTGTCTCTGGTCACTTCCTGTGCTCTGTCTCTGGTCACTTCCTGTCAGCTCCTGTGCTCTGTCTCTGGTCACTTCCTGTTCTCTGTCTCTGGTCACTTCCTGTCAGCTCCTGTGCTCTGTCTCTGGTCACTTCCTGTGCTCTGTCTCTGGTCACTTCCTGTCAGCTCCTGTGCTCTGTCTCTGGTCACTTCCTGTCAGCTCCTGTGCTCTGTCTCTGGTCACTTCCTGTTCTCTGTCTCTGGTCACTTCCTGTGCTCTGTCTCTGGTCACTTCCTGTTCTCTGTCTCTGGTCACTTCCTGTGCTCTGTCTCTGGTCACTTCCTGTTCTCTGTCTCTGGTCACTTCCTGTCACTTCCTGTTCTCTGTCTCTGGTCACTTCCTGTTCTCTGTTTCTGGTCACTTCCTGTTCTCTGTCTCTGGTCACTTCCTGTGCTCTGTCTCTGGTCACTTCCTGTTCTCTGTCTCTGGTCACTTCCTGTCACTTCCTGTTCTCTGTCTCTGGTCACTTCCTGTGCTCT